TCGGCAAAGAAAAGGAAGCAGAAATGACAAGCTTATCGAATATCGTAGGCAATATTACGCTGTAAGTTAAAATGAGTTAGAGATGCGTAGGCCGTAGAAGACGAAGAAAAGTTTAAGACATGAAATAGAAGACTTTAAACTGCAGACCGAGAGCGTCAAGTCGATACTCGAACACTTTCGCCGTCGGTGCCATCACGACGTCTGCAGGCAATGGGTTCCAATAAGCTATGACCCTACTTGATAACCGAAAAGCTGCCCAAACCCGGTCAGACCGGGGTCTGTACAACTTTAATGGGTGGCCACGAAGAGTTGGCACTCGACTTAAGCGAAACAGTCCAGTCAAAGCAGGACCAATCTGACCAATGAATACACGGTATGTAGGGACCAAGTTACCACGAAGCCGCCGGTAATACCTGGAAAACATAGTTAATTTACGTAGCATCTCCGGGTAGGTCAGCTTCTTTAATCCGTGTACCATTTTCCTCCCGGACCGCAGGACTCGTTCAACTGCCACCTCAGCACGAACCAAGCATGGAGGACAAGCCTGAAGTCAGTATTCCTAGTGCGGCCTTACAAAAGTCGAAACTAGTCTAACAAACATTTCGGTGGTCATGATCCCGAATGACCTGTGGATCATCCACAACATGTTGAAACCTATGCGAGCAGCTGCCATCCAGTGCTTACTGAACTTAAAGTCGGATGACAGCAAAACACCAAGGTCAGATTGGAGTTAAATTCGCGGCACCTCGTTGCAGCCAAGCAACAGTTCACGTAGGTTTTCACGCACATGGGCTAGGACGTCCGTGTAGAAACTGAAGTTAGTTCACGCAGCGCACAACTTGGAACTGACTTCGTAACCCCGGCGTCCTATTTGCCGACAGAAAGCAGTTTCCATCCCTGTGAATGAGCTTGTACGTAAGGTCACAATTACCGTCCTTCAGTTGTATCACAGTGTCTCCTTGACCATTAAGTCTGAGGATCTGAAGCGTATTCAAGTGCTCCATGCTCACTGTCCGCGAAGCCTTGTTGAAATACGACGGCACCGACATGTCCGCTACGATAACTTGAGTACGCGAATACTACGTAATGCTATTCATGCGATCTCACTAGAACAACAGCTCGCACTGATTAGGTTGCTTGCATCCCTAACGCATTGAATAGAGCAAAGCAACTGCGTACCACCAATAAACAGAACGAACTGCACATTGTCCGTTAGGTCGAACACCTATGGTAACTAACCAAACTTTTAGGATGCCGTATGCCTAAGGGGAAATGAGGGGCGCAAATACCTGAGGATTTCGGAAACCAGTGGAATCCAACTATCTATTACGACGTAGGATGATTGAATGAGAGCAGATAAACTTCTTACCGTGAGGTGCGATATCCCTGTGGCGGCGAATTTAGTAAAAGATGGTTGTGGTTCAAACTAATAAGCTAAACCTGAAACATCCTTTATGTACTTCAAAGGAAATGTACCTGCGCAGAACAGGGAGACCCTGCTGCTGCTGCTGCTGCTGCTGCTGGGAATCCTTGGACAGCAAACCGCCAGACACCTGAAAGTCGAAGTCCGCCCATGTTGCTAGGTTGGATGCTCTTTCACTTACAGAGTCACTGGTTTTAGTTTCGCAACCTTGACATGGGAAGCTCACCACTCACAAGTCGGATAGGTCGTCCAGCTCCAGTAGCGTTTGGCATATGCAGCTCAGTCTACGGTTACAAGAGTTGACACCGTCACTGGCTTTCGCAGTGGCATTTGTTACTCTATCTCGTGGTTAGTTCGGTTTGCTCCGTGGCGAGCTTGCTCGCTGACAGAACACCGTGAGAAAAGCACTATAGGCTGATTGTGTTTCCAAATTTCCGTGCTGCTATTACATTGGCCGCTATGTTTTTGGACGATCGTATGTCTCCAGTAGATTTGGACGCTCTGCTGGTAAGCCATGATTCTGCTTCAGGAAGAGGCGCAGGTCGTACACTTCATTTGGACGCTTCAGCGGGCAACGAATGGGACGAATAGCTACATAGGGAAGCACACCAAGCAGCTCCCCAAGACTTGGATACGAACATAGATAACGATTCAGTAGCGGACGCTAGTGGTGTACTCGATGATGTTCCACGTATAGAGCCGCTGATCCTCTAGGAATCTAAACAACTTGACGAAGAACCGTAGTCACTTGTGACTGTCCACCTAAATGATGAATTGTACGACACAGAGAACGCAACCGATGAGTAAATTCCCCAGGTTGTGGTCTGCCTCCACCTTCCCTTCCAACAGACTGGGACACTATTTTCTCCTCTCATCCTCATCCTAATCTGCTGCCTATCGTTCTCCGAGGTCCATTGTCTCAGTCGAACTGCCGTGTTTAACGCACTCAAATGGACATTCCGTTCCATTTCCAAGCGTTTTGTGCGACATTCACCACGTGTTCAACCTCATAATTAATTCTCCTTTTTGCCGATAATCCCCGTCTGATGATAGAGCATCTACTGGATCTGGAATTATCTGACCGGAGCTAGCGGACTGGACTTATCGACACACCGATCCATCTTGGGCTAAGTTCTGGCTTCGGATTGTTCAATGAGTCCGTTTAACAGTGCCGGACAGAAGGCGGGTGCACGTTTACAACGAAGAGTGCTCGGTCGTTCGGCATTTTGCTAGACAAATTGCTGCTGTTTATTGGTCTCCTTTTGCCATTCACCTGTGATTTGGAAGCATTTACAAAATCTCCTAGCCCATTGGAACCTGATGTACGTCTCAAGCGTCCTGCGTCGGCTACTCGGAAGAAACCTCTCGCTGCTCTGTCTGCAATCCGCTCCCAGACCCACCGTCGTCCAAAGCGTTTGTCTGCCACATCGGCGTCGCTTACTGTCCGCCTCTGGAGTGACGCTTTAGGATAAGTTGAGGTCATCGACCGCAGCTGGGCCATGCATTCGTCCATTGAATGGGTAGGTACCGATTACATGCAAGGTAGCATCTCCTTCATCGCTTCCACAGATTGCCGGTAGCTGTGGTGCGTCTCGTTCAAGAGCAACACATAGCAAAAAATGCGCCACAACGGTTACATCTACCCGCATACAATGTCTCAAGATATAGCCACAATAAGTTATTTGGTGACTTGCTTCCGCCAAAAGTAATTCGAAATATGGTTCAGCAATGGCACCATACCCGATGGCACGAGGAACAAATATCTCACAACCATGCCCCCTTTCTTTGGTAAATTCACCCTTTAACTTGAAAGAGAAATGCGCCTTGCAATCCAGCATCCTGTAACTGTGTAGCATTTATTATACGGTGAGAATAGCAACTTACCGTTTCCCACGAACGTTGCTACGCCTGCCATAAACCCTGCGATACGGCCCATGTTGGTACGGGTACTCCTCTGGAAAATGATTTCCCGGTTTGCCGTTCATAATGCTGCCGAGTCACAGCCGCAAATTTGTAAAAAGTTGTGGCAGTTACAACTTAACTTTTCCTTACATCGGATTCAAACCCTTCTCTTTTCCGATAATTGTCGCGCACCGACAGACCGAATCTTTCTCAATCATCCACCATGATGACAGTTACAACGTGGCGCCAAGTGCTTTCCAATACCCCTGTAGTCTTTCACAACAACTAACTACGATAAGCACATTCACCTTCTCCAATGCAAATAAATCAGCGACTTAACTCGTGCTGAGAAATGTTGCCCAAGAAAGGGACCTCGGAGTAATTGTGTCTCCTTACCTCAAAACAACTGAGGACACCCGGAAAAGAGTCGCGGCTGCTTACAGGATGTTTCGTGCCTTACGAAGAGCATTCTCCCGCCTTACTCCAGAACTCTTCAGACTCCTGTTTGCCTCACATGTGCGCCCGATTCTCGAGTACGGCTTGCCAGCTGCCCAGCCTCTCACGAAGACGGAATGCGATATGATTGAGAAGGTCCAGCGCCGTGGATCTAAATATGTGCCAGAACTGCGGTGCCTATCTTATCCTCTCCGCCTCCAGCGATTACGTCTTTTCTCTCTGGATTACCGTCGTCGTCGCGGCGACTTGATCTACACTCGACGTATCCTAAGAGGAGAACTTGGAAGCGAATTGCAGCAGTTCTTTCACCTGAACACTGAAAGTTCCACACGTGGTCACGGACGGAAATTGTTCAAACCGAGGAGACTCCATGTGCGGTCGAATCTAGCTCTATCCACGCGCGTGGTTAATGACTGGAATCGCTTGCCGGAGCTCGTCGTTGATGCGCAGTCCGAGGAAAGTTTCAAGAAATTGTTGGATTCCCACTTGATAACTGTGCCCGGATATTGCTTCACAACCTAGCTTTAATGGTTCATTGTGGAACCCTATTTTCACTATGACCCCAGCAATGTTCGCAATGACTGGGAAGCGACGGAGCTGATAAAGGACTCTCCTTCTGCTCTCTACCATACAATGATACAATGATACCATGTATATATGCAAGCCTTTACCAAAAGGCAATATCTCCTGTCGGCATAGCATAGCTACCGAACCAAACACACCGCGAGGCAAAACTCAGGTGTGAGAGTCCCGGTTCACTGGTAGCCGTAGATTGCTTACCGATAAAAGAGACAGGATGCTCGTTATGCGAGGGCCTATTTAGTCCTTGGAACCTGACTAGATGTGATGTATTGGAGCTCGTAATAACCGATACAAGTAAATTATATGCATCCCATTATTTTAATGAATTCGAAAAGGCCATAACGGTTACTAAAAGTCTGTGCTGGCGCGACATCACCGCTTACTTAATAACGTCAGAATTATGCAAATTTGGATAAGTGCTGGTAACATCTTTTTCCGGAATGAATGTAATCTAATCCTAAATTAATAGCATTTATGCTTGATGTTGCTCTGTGAAAATGCAGGGATTACTCTTATTTTTGCTTTATTACTTTTTGCAGAAGCAAGCAGAGGTGATCAAAAGTCAAAGTGCCCGAAGCTGTGGTTCATTTACCGGTACAGGAATCTGGACTCTTGTCAGGCAGGACCTTGTGTCGTCCTTGGATCTTGACCTGACCTGACCTGACCTCTGCAGCTGTACCGCTGGTAGCAAGCGTTGCGATGTTTTCGGCCAAGCGGGGTCCTTTGACTCAGGACATTGATACGGTTGACTTATACACTGGCAGGCCCCTTTTGCTCCACGGATATATGTTACCATTCATCCTTTTATATTCTGCGTGGATTGGATACTGGTTCAAGGTATTGGGACCTAGCGAATACATGGAAATAGGTGCGATCGTCCTTGCTGTTCTGGTTTTCATCCAAATACTCACTTGCCTTTTCTGCCACTGGTTTGTCGGGTTCAAATGTCTGATGACTTGTGACAAGGTTAGGTTTATTTTGCCTTGATCACTTGAACAGGTGCGACTGCCGTCCCTTGCCCGGTTCGCGAAAGTCGTCCCCACAGCGAACAATGGTTTAGTTACGCTAGTAACTATACATCATGCAAAAGTATGCTAAATTCCACCAAAAAACACTTTTTTAGCATCCCGAAACGGGTGCCGCTACCCATTTCTTTCATTTTCAACGGCTGAAATATACTTTTACTACTGATGATATTGACAGTGTCGAAGGTGTCAACTTCCCAACCAACTGGAAAATCCAGCGGTATGTCGATTGGCGCGGACACGAAACAGGCGACAAACTGGCTGTTGCAGAATTTATTTTTGGATTGAATGAGTAACGATATGTTTCGTAACCAAACTTTTTAGACTTCAGCTAAGCGTTCCGTCCTTCGTGGATCTGTTCAAGGAGAGAGCGACTGCCCCCTTCTTTGTCTTTCAAGTATTCTGCGTTGCTCTCTGGTGCTTAGATGAATATTGGCTCTATCCGATGCTCACGCTTTTTATGCTTTGCCTTTTTGAAGCTGGTTTGGTTCAACAGCAGCTGAAAAACATGACCGAAATACGATCGATGGGCGCTCAACCATACAACGTTCACGTGAGTCTGTGCAGACAGCTGTGCTTCCCACTGCTTGTGTGCTTTAAGGCTCATCTGTGGTATTGGTATTGTAGCCCTACTGAGTGCGGTGGTAAATACTTCCTGCCACCACTGACGAGACCCAGAAAGTCGAAACACTGGTGTCTGGTGTTTTTCGATACTAGCGAAGACCTGATAACAGACTGAACCGTGATGGTACATCTATACTCATACCAAATCCCAGCTACTCATTAGCAATAAATTTTTGTCACTGCTTTTAGCGGGAGCCCAGATAGCGATTCCAGAAACCCAGATCATTGCAAGGAAGCTGTTATTTGTATATTAAAGGGTTCCCTCTTGGCCAAGCTCTAAGAACGTCACCATTGACACTGAAAGCTGGGGGAATGAAGAAGCGCAGTACACAAGATCGACTGTGCGTTGCAACCGAAACGAGAGCTACACAAAAGGGTGCTCAACTCTAGCACTTGAAATCAACAACCGGTTCAACAATCAGCACCGGTCACCTATGTGCACAATGAAATGGTTTTAGTTAGAATTGTACACAGGCTTTCATTCTCTCTTGTTACCGCCAACCACCTTCCATGCTTTCTGTTCAGTTGTTCGTATGCATCTTATACTCACACGTGTGAGTTTTCATTTGTCGGCCGGTGGCCGAGTGGTTGGCACGTTTGCTTTCCAACCATAAAGTCACCGGTTCGAATCCGCGTAGGGGTGGGCGTCCTCGCGGTATACTCAGCCCGCGCGCGACTAGTGGTGGTCGCGCGGCAGCGAGGCGTCGTTACGGCGTATAAGCTGACATTTCATTTTCCGTCGCAACGAGACTGGACCTTAACGTGGTGCGACGGTTTGCGTACCTCATTGACCCATTGAGCTATACTGGGTGATGCCTCCGAGCATCTTGAGAGCTACTCCTACCAGGTTGGTCATTGGTGAGAGGTCAGACAAACTTAGTCTCCTGGTCCTCCAGGTTGGGGGTTTGAAATGGGATGGCGTCCATTTCTGTAAAACTAAATCATTGCCACCCCGCTGCCTTGCGGACAGGCTTTTGAGCCAAAGGCTTTGGATGAGGACCCTAATCCTTCTCCTGTCTAGGTCTGGGCGCCCTGGCAGTATCCCAGCCCACATACAACCATGACATTCTCTTCAAACATAAACTTCATCCTGCATCGGCCGTCGCGCAGATTTTCAAGGGTCGCCTTATCTGCTGCATACAGCAGGTCGGATAAGCGAAAGCATGCTACTGCTGGCGCCTTCCTTCTTTCTTTTCCACCTTTTTCTCTTACTCCCATCCCGGCCCCCATTACTAACCTTCCTTCTATAATTCCCAGCTTAATTGACAGCAACCGAAGTGCTACTGGAGTAGAACCATCTGCAGCCACCTTCTCGCGACACGCACTGGATGCCTATCGGCAAAAGTTCCTTATAAGGCCACGCTGTCCCGTTTCCATGGCGACATTCAACGTCCGCACTCTAAGACAAACAGGTCAGCAGGCTGCACTCGCACGCACCTTGGACACACTGGGTGTTGATGTGTGTTGTGTGTCCGAAACTAGGATTAATGACCCTAACGGGGTTATTGAATTGACTGCACCCGGCTTATCCTCTCGTTATTGGTTGCACGCATCCGGAGACGCCGATGCGGCACTCACGCGTCAAGCTGGTGTAGGTATCATTCTCAGTTCCAAGGCTGAGTCATCGTTGGTTGATTGGATTCCGGTGAACAGCCGTTTATGTGCAGCCCGTTTGACGACATCAGCTAAGGTAAATTCGCGAAGTAAAACAAAACGATGTTTGTTTGTGATTTCTGTTTATGCTCCCACCGACTGCAGTTCTAATGCAGTCAAGGACACTTTCTATCACGAACTGAACACGCTGCTACGCAGTGCTACTAGTTCAGATATTATAGTACTTGCAGGGGATATGAACGCACAAGTAGGGCGTCTGAGCTCTTCAGAAGCTCAGCTGGGTGGTAAGTATGGACTTAACGCCGAACGGACTGACAACGGCGAGCGTCTGCTGCAACTGTGTGCGGAGCACCATTTGTTTCTTACTAGCACTGCTTTTAGACACAGTGAGCGCCGAAGTGCCACTTGGCGTCCGCCTGTAGCTGGTCAGCGATGGACCCAAATTGACCACATAGCCATAAGTTACAGGTGGCGCGGTTCCATTCTGGATTGCCGCTCGTACTGGAGTACCTGTGTCGACTCTGACCATGCCTTGGTGCGCTGTCGTTTCTCCATGAACTTTACCGGAAGGCGCACAAAGCGTCTCCCCCGATTGGCAACGGAGAAATTGTCCCAGCCCTCTGTCAGGCAAGCCTATCAAGAAGCACTGCATAGCGAACTCTCGCTGTCTTGTCCTAATGATACTGAACTTCAGTGGAATAGGATCTCGGCCACCATGCACGACGCAGGAGCATCTGCTTGTGGCACTATCAGTCGTCACCGCACCAGTCACTGGATATCCGAGAGGTCCGTGAACCTTTTGGAAGCTAGAAGGCACCTCCCGGCTGGTTCTGAACACAATGTGACCAGACGAGCTATTAGGCGTGAACTAAAGCGGAGCCTACGTGCTGACAAGGAAGCCTGGTGGACCAGTCGGGCTCAAGAAATGGAGGAGGCAGGAGCAGTAGGCAATTACCGGAAGCTCTTCCAGCTAATACGCACCACTGGTCCGAGAAAACCAGGCGTCAGTGAGACAATCAGGGACAGCGCGGGTGCGCTGATACACAATAAGGAGCGCCGTATGGCTCGTTGGGCTGAGCACTTTGAACATCAGTTCAGCTGGCCCCCTGCTCCCGAACCTCTTCCTACTCAGGTGATGCAGGACGAGCCATGGACGGTTAGTTTAGAGCCTTCGTCGGAGGCCGAGGTCCGAAACGCGATCACAGCCCTCAATCGTTCTCGTGCCGCTGGCCCGGATTCCCTACCACCTGCACTATTTAAGAATGGAGGTGAGGTCCTCTGCAAAGCACTGACCTCCCTATTCGAACATATCTGGAACGAAGAGAGTGTGCCGGCTAATTGGAGCGAATCGACTATAGTGGCAATATACAAGAAGGGCAGTCGCACAGACTGTGCGAACCACAGGGGTATTAGCCTAACGCCAGTTGTGACAAAATTAATGGCCTAGATTATCGTTCGTCGCCTCACTGCAGAACGGGAATCTCGGATTAGAGAAGAGCAGGCCGGTTTTCGCCCAGGACGTGGCTGTATAGACCATATATTTACTTTGCGGCAGGTGCTAGAGCAGCGCCACGCATACCGCAGACCGACAATAGCTGTGTTCCTCGATTTCAAGAGTGCGTTCGATTCAGTCGACCGATCGATTCTGTTCGAAATACTTGCGCGAAAAGGTGTTCCCACGAAATATGTGAACATCCTTCGTGCTCTATACTCGAACACTAGAGGCCGCGTCAGGGTTTATGGTGCCCTATCGGATAGCTTTTCGACTACAAGTAGCGTTCGACAGGGTTGCCCGATTTCCCCGTTTTTGTTCAATTTCGTCGTGGATTCTATCATGGAGTGTTCCCTTGCGGAATCTCACGATGTAGGTGTTGAAGTGCTGCCTGGTGTACGGTTAGTTGATCTAGATTATGCGGACGATATCGTCTTGCTTTTCGACAATGTTGAGGCGGCACAATCAACCCTGAATAGCCTATCCAGAGTGGTCCCATTATTTGGTATGCACTTCGCACCTTCAAAGTGCAATGTGTTGCTGCAGGACCACCAGCCACTCGATGACCCCTTGACGCTTGCTAACGAGGAACTCGATGTGGTTGATCAATTCACTTATCTTGGCAGCTGTATCAGCAATGATGGGCGCATAGAAACTGACGTGAGCTCACGTATTGCAAAGGCTAAAGCTGCCTTCTTGAACCTGCGTCATCTTTGGCGACAGAAGGGAGTTTCCCTCCGTCTGAAAGGCCGTGTATACAAGGCCACAGTGAGGGCCGTTCTGCTGTATGGTAGTGAAACTTGGCCCCTTCGGTCTGAAGATCTGAGGCGCCTTCAAGTCTTTGATCATCGTTGTTTGCGAAGCATTGCTGGTGTCGGATGGCACCAGCGTGTCCGCAACGATGATGTGCGTAGGCGAGTACTAGGTGGTGATGATCATGCTAGCTCCCTAGAACCACAGATAGCACTGAATAAGTTACGTTGGCTCGGTCACGTGCTACGCATGCCTGGTCACCGCTTACCTAGGAGGGCCTTGTTCAGTCTACCAGGTGTCGGATGGCGCAAGGCTCGAGGTGGACAGAAGTTGACTTGGCAGCGGGAAATGAAGTCACTGACGACCAAACTGGGTGCCGTTGGTCAGTCTCGCCTTCCGGGTTGGAGTCCACGTGACTCACCTTGTGCTTGGCTCGAGACTTTACAGGACATGGCTCGCAGTAGACACCAGTGGCGCGTCTGCTGCCGTCTCCTAATCGGATTGTCTGTTTAAAGTGTGTTTGGTGCTGAGTTATCTGCAGGGTAATGGCTGATTATGACGCGGGGCAGTGAAAGCCGCAAGGAAGCTGTCTCGCCGATGCCGCCTTATCTTTGCACGATAGCCAGCTGTTTGTGACGGTATGTTGTCTACACAAGGTGTAGGCGCCTTGACCCTGAATGTTTGCTTAGGGCATTAAGCTTTTCAGGTAAGTCCCCCTTCTCTCCCTTTTCTTATTCTTTATTTCATAGGTCCTCATGGTTGTATGTCAGCGAAGCATCAGTTCAAATGGCTGATGTACTGCTGTTGATGATGATGATGATGTGAGTTTTCATGCCTTTGATTTTTGTCGATCTCTTATTTCGCAAAATCTGCTGCAGTTGAGACTTCATTCTTCGACTCACCTAGAGTACTATATACCAGAAATTCGTGATTCATAGAGGGGCATATGGTCGTGTGAATCACGAGGATGAAGAAAGGATAGACGGTATGGCATAAAAGTGGCATGCGCACTGTGACAAATTCGCTAGAAAGTCTCTAGTGGCCCCTTGCATGAACTTAGGGATTACGGT